GATGGCCACGCCACAATCCCTTCTCCTCCATTCTCCTCTCGGGATCTTGGGCATGCACGCACATGCGCCCGGCGTGAGTTTAAGCTACCAGGTTCAGGACTCAAACTGTGGTCGACAAAATGGGAATCCAACAACATAGCCATTACGCCAACTGCTGGTCCCAAGTACAAATTGATTTTAAAAAAAGTCTAGATATGTTCTATAGGAATTTTTTTTAGAATTAAAAGAACTGATGTATGTTTAAAGTATTATGTAATTATTGAGTAAGTTATGATATATAAACTCCTTTGTACCGTGTATATACAATAGAACACAGTGTGTATTTTTATTATATTTTATTTCTTATTATTATTTTTCACATGAGTTCACTAGAGACAGAGACAGAGTCTTGAGAGATGCAGTCTCTAGCAGTCTGGCCATGTCTTCTCAGCTTCTCATCTGAGCCACAGAACACAGAAAACAATTTGGGTAGCTTTTCTCAATTATCCTAAGAATATTACATAATTATCATTCTAGATTTTACTAATTCCCTACCTGAAATGGATGTTAGGGAATTAAGGCTTGCACCTTGAGTGAAATCCTGGTTAAGAAGGGCTGCTAAAAACGAGTAACACTGGGACCAGCAGTTAGCGTAATGGCTATGTCGCTGGACTCCCATGTAGTCGACCACGGTTCGAGTCCCGGACCCGGTGGCTTAAACTCATGCTGGGCGCGTGTGCGTGCGTGCCCAAGATCCCGAGAGGAGAATGGAGGAGAAGAGATTGCGGCGTGGCCATCCCCCCTGGGGGGTGATTTCTCGCTTTCTGTCTCTCTGTCTCTGTCTGTCTGGCAAGCGCATGTGCCCTATAGCAAAAACCTCTCCAAAAAAAAAAAAAAGAAAAGAAAAACGAGTAACACTAGAAACTTTGTAACACTAGCCTTGAAGAAAAGGCATAATACTGGGACCAGCAGGTGGCATGGTGATCAAGACGCTTCCCACATGGCCGTCTGCAGTTCGAGTCCCAGACCCAGTTCGAGTCCCAGACCCAGTGGCTTGAAACTCACAACAGGATTAATAGGTAAATGTTTGTTTTTTAAAAAAATAAGGCATAATACTATGTAAAATGCTTTTCTTTAATGATAGTTTATGTGTGCATGTGAGAGAGAAAAGAGCACCCTACATAGGGTTTAGTTAAGCCACAAATCCCCTCCTCCCAGTCCTCCAGCCTGTCAGATCGTGGGCACTTGTGTGCATACCCTGTCCATTTCAGGCTGACCTAGCTGTGGATCTAAACCACAGTCACCATGTGGGATCTGTGGCTTCTCTGAAGCAGAGTATTACCACTGCACCATGGAGCCACCTTTGCTGTTGTTTTTAAAAGGAAAACGGACAGGTAGGAGATTAAATGTGGCATAGTGATGTGATACATTTGAGTCCCAGACCCAGTGGCTTGAAACTCACAACAGGATTAATAGGTAAATGTTTGTTTTTTAAAAAAATAAGGCATAATACTATGTAAAATGCTTTTCTTTAATGATAGTTTATGTGTGCATGTGAGAGAGAAAAGAGCACCCTACATAGGGTTTAGTTAAGCCACAAATCCCCTCCTCCCAGTCCTCCAGCCTGTCAGATCGTGGGCACTTGTGTGCATACCCTGTCCATTTCAGGCTGACCTAGCTGTGGATCTAAACCACAGTCACCATGTGGGATCTGTGGCTTCTCTGAAGCAGAGTATTACCACTGCACCATGGAGCCACCTTTGCTGTTGTTTTTAAAAGGAAAACGGACAGGTAGGAGATTAAATGTGGCATAGTGATGTGATACATTTAAAGAACAACAAATTTGTGGACTAGTATATTATAGAAATCTGTATATCAAAACTACCTGTAGACTCAGCTGTGGTTGCATAGGCTGTACAATACTAAAGCCATGTGGGCGGCCCAGTTTGGCTCTCCAGTGGACCTGAACGTGTCAGGCATGCCTGTGTATGCCTATGACTCTGGCTGGCTGGGAGGGTAGAGGAAGGAGCTCAGCATGAAGACCCTATTGAGCATACTGTCCTTCATGAGGCGAAGACAGAAAGAAACTATGGTTTTACCTTTGGAACTCGTTAAAAATAGAAGTACTCTGCTCCTACCCAAATAGTTAGTCTGTCAGCTAAAAGTGCAGATGGCAGAAAATATAACTTAGTATTTCTTTTCTCCGTAAAGGTATTCAAATTCTTCCATGTAAACTGCTTAACTCACTTGAGATTCTTTTGACTTAATACTGAGCTATGTACGTTAACATTTTAAAATTTTTTATATTGATTTTCCCTTCACCCTAGAGACTGAGAGAAATTAATAGTATGATACGGACAGGAGAAACTCCAACTAAAAAGAGAGGGATTCTTTTGGAAGATGGAAGTGAATCACCTGCAAAAAGAATTTGTCCAGAAAATCATTCTGCCTTACTACGCCGTCTCCAAGATGTAGCTAATGATCGAGGTTCCCACTGAGGTTAGTCTCTTGCACTGAAACTGTCTTTACACAAACTCTGTTTAGCAGCATCACTTAATGCATGCTAGATTATGTAGGCTTTTCCTTAATCCAGCCAGTCAACTAGAGCTTGATATGAAAAATGAGAGACATTTTTGTGAAAAATTGGACTTTGCTCTCCAAGTATTCCTAGAATATTTTTATTCATCCCAACTGCCTTTGTCCCTACCATTCAGTGCTTACCATCAACAATGTTTGGAATCCAACTTGGATTTTACCCTTTTGACAAAGCTTTTACAATTATCACAAAGAACAAAGTGTACTTAAGAATATAAATCCAAGCGGTCTCTGTTGACCTGCTCCAGCAAAAGACCTGTATTTCAGATTTATTCCTACTTATTTGTGGTCAGCTCTAGTCCTTGTGACAAGTAAAACAGAAATTAGGTATTTTGTCCCAAATACTTGGTTGGAGTGTGAGATTTTTGCATTCCTGAACTAGAACAAAAGAGCACGCCCAGATTCAGAGGTACTAGTCATTAGCCTAGATCTCTCATCCCTTTTGCACACTTCTCCCCTTCCCCCATTAGGTGTGGTGCAGTGGGAAACGTGGTTGGTTGGTTGGTTGTGCAATGTCTGAGTGAACTTGTATAAGTGGTGGCACTTTAGGTCTGTAAAATGCATGATTTTGAAACCCAGATTTTGCTGTATATTTGTGATGGCACTTTCTACAATGTGAACTTTTAAAGTACAAAACTTATAGGTTAACCATCCAATATTTTCTTTAATTCTTTTTGTACTTTTTAAAAACCGTTAAAGCCCATTTGGGCATGTGTTTTAAATTCTCCAGTTTTTTTTTTTTTTTTTGCTGTTATATAGGGATCAGTTGACTAAAGATTGTAAATCAAGTTGAATTGAGGAGACTAATATGAAAAATTATGACCTCTTCCTTTAAGAGGTAGTTATCCAAAAGACATGTCTATTACGGTGATGATATATTTTAAAATACATTTTGGTGTGTTACTGGCAGTTTAAAAACAATAGGTTGGAGAATTTAGATTTTTATTAGTACGTAGTACCATTTATACAAATTAGAAAATGCTATTTAACAGCTCTTGAATTACCTATATATACCTTTATTAATCACTATTGTTCCAGCAGTTTTAAAGTTGAATTAATAATCTTATTAGGGAGAAAATTCAATTGTAAATTGAATCAGTATAAACAAAGTTACTAGGTAACTTCATATTGCTCTAAAAGAAATATGGAACTTACACTGTTCAATTAGAATAGTGTTTTGCAAAAATATTTATAAAACCTCTCAAGATACTGCTACTGTAATTTTATATGAAAATAAGTGTATTTTTCAATAAAGCATTTATAAATTACTTTGTTCAGTTATATTAAGAAAAGAGTATTTAGTTTCCTGCATAAATGACAAAGAACAATCATTTATTGGTTTATTTTGTCTCTACT